GGCCTTCGTTCCAGAAGGTTCTTACCACTCTTTCCAGAAGGAAGGGCCGTGACCTGCCTGTGTGCCTCTCACATGGAGGGTGGGCTCCAAGGGATTCACTCTGCATACCAAGGGGGACCCAGCCCCTGCCTGGGACCTGAAAGGGGGAGGGTGCTTCTGAGGCCTGAAAGAGCTGAGCACAGCAGGAGGGGCCCTGCCTGATGGGGGCTGGGTTAGAAGAGGCCCCACCTTCTCCTGGGACGTGAGCTGAGAGGCTTGGACATCCCTGGCTGGAGACTTGAGCAGTGTCAGTCCCCTCTTGGACCACCTCCCTGTGCCCCCATCTCCCCAGGGAGAGCCTGAGCCAGCGCCCTCGCGCAGGTGTGAGTGACATGAAAGACGGGCGCTCTCAGGGGCCAGATAAGCTCCAGAGAAGCAGCGTCTGGCTTCTTTTGCCCTGCTTGCTGATGGTTATCTTGCTTTATCCTCAGTTCATCTTTTGGCTGAAGACCGTCATAATTACACCCACTATGAGGACGAAAAGGTAGGGGGGCCCACCCAGCGTCACACAACTAAACAAGGTCCTAGCACCAGGTCTTCACAGGGGCACCCAAGGGGCTGAGAAACATGAATGTGTGGGACCCTCACACGCCCATGACTCAGAGTTCTGGGAATCCAGCCAGGGGCCTCACTGGTAGCCAAGGGAGGGAAGACCTCAGGGAAGGTGAGGGCAGACTCCCACCCCCACCCTCACCTGGTAGCCCAGGCCCTGCCCCCACTGGGCTGAGGAGGGAGCAGGTGCACATTGGCCTCAGGGCAGGCGTCCTGGCAGCATCAGGGAAGCCTGCCCTGGCTGGTGCTGTCCCAGGGCTGGCAGGCATTTCCCTACCTAATGTCATATTGATACAATATTTAAGGTGAAACTTGGGAAGACTGGAATTCTTGCCCCAGCTTCCTGATCCCCAAAGGTACACTTTAGGAGGCAAGAGATCCTCTATGGCCCCCAGGAACCTAGAACCCCCAAAACCTTCAGGAGCAGGGCTGACCATGCCTCTAGAGCCCCTGGGCCACCCAGCAGTACTCCCCTACCTCCACCCCATGCTCAGGGCTGCTAGACAATTGGGCTTTCTCACCAGAGCTGAGTCACTGGCCCCTGTCCCTTCCCTGGCCAGGCCTGCCTCCCCCATGGTCATCAGAGCAGCTGTTAACACCCGGACCAGCATAGGGTCCTTGTCTGCATCCCAGCCCAGCCCTTCTGTTCCTTCAGGAACAACTTGTGGGAGGAGCGCTGAGTGGGCACTGGGGAAGACGACTAAATTTGTGGCTATTTCCTAACAATCCTGTGCAAGCAAGAAGCAACCAGATAGAGGTGGCCATAGTCTCAAATCCATTTCATTCCCTTTGGGCTTATTTAACTTAGAGATGGGAGCCCTGGGGGCCATGCTAACCCCAGCCCATTTCTCCTGTTGCTGAGCTTGGAGGGACAAGGGGCTGAGGTTAGAGGGGGCTGATGGCCTGATCTGGGGCTGGTCCATGATGTGGACTCGTGCACATCTCCATCAAGTGTACACTTCTCAGGAAGCACCTTACATCTCAATAAACAGAAGACGGTTGTTGTGTGGGTGGAGGCTGCATTCCTAAGGCCACACACAGGGCTTTGAATAACCACCTGGGATCCGAAGGGCCTCAGGTTGTGCCCGACAAAACAGTGTTTTCAGTGTGTGGCCACGGTTTCAGATAGGACACCCCTGGTCCACAGTGCGGGCTTTGAGCTGGGCAGACCACAAAGCACAGCATCATCTGCTTCTCCTTAAAAGGGAGCAGATGGTGACAGTAACAACCACAGAAATAGGATGAGCCCCTGCTCTGGACACCATGTGTTCCAGTGACACACAGTGGGCCAGTGGCCCCTTTCAGGTGATACCCCCATATTTGACACATTTTGTCCCAATTTAATAAAGAACACAGATGTGCTTCATTTCCAAAGGCTTCATGAATGCACAGGTGTCCCGCTGGGCATTCATCTCCAATTGCCTGGCCCAGCGTTTGCTCTGCCTACTGCGAGTACCAGGCCACAGGAGGAGCACTCAAGCCCCTGGGGCAGGGTCACCACAGTCATGTCCCTGTTTAGATTAAGAGGTCCTGGACCATCCCAACCTGAGGCTGCACCAGGGACACAGCACACGTGGCTCAGAGAGTGCGGCTGTGGGCACAGATGTGGGAGTCAGTCAATTCACCTCACAGGTATGTCCTTTAGGCTGAGGGTCAGGGTGGGGAGGACCGGGCTCTCTGGCCTCCAGGAAGCATCTCCTTCTCTTAGAGACAAGGTACCCCATCTTGCCCACCCCCCACCTATGGGCTTTTGGGAGCACTGATGTGATAATGAGAAAGCTTTGAAAACCCGCAAGGATGCTGATTAGTGACTGAAGATATGGCTGCAGCATAGCCCTTCTCTTTGAAAGTACTGAGAACTGATTTTTATCAACAGGTGAAACTATCCTGGAGGCTCCATGATGCAGAAGAGAGAATGCAGGGCACAGGCAAAGACTTTATCCTGCTCTGCCTTCCCAAGGGCTGCCCGGAGACCTGGAAGATGCAGGCACAGGGAGTAGATGGCTGACCCACAGACATGCCTCGGTGAGGACATGCTGGTCAGTGTCATGAAAGGGGGGGAGGGTGGCCTGCAAACAGCGCTGGGCCAGAGACTTTGGGAAAGTGGACAGCACCTGTAGGGGTCATGTCGTCACGGCCCCACCACTGCAAACATGATGCCACTGAACTGGGAAGATGACAAGGAGAGTCACAGCTCTAAGATAGAGTTTTTTATATTTTTATGGAGACAGGAGCCTCAGAAAGCCAAAGTGCCTGGGGCCTACGGGTCCCCCAGGGTCCTGCAGACCCCTGTTCTGGGCCAGAAAGCAGGACAGCTAGACGATGTCTTCCAAGGGGAGACCCTGCTCAATGGACAAGTGCACCTGTCATTTTCCAAGCTGGCATTCCAGCCCCTCCTTCCTGAGCTCCCTAAAATCCAAGAGTCTAGAGCCCACAGTGAGGGCCCCACCCCCAAGCTCCTCTCACCTCCCCAGCCTACAGGGAGCTAGAGATGTAGGGCAGCCTGTTGTTGCTGCCCTGGAGGTTGGCAGGACACTTGGGATACCCTGAGACCCTATATGAATGAAGTTCACAGACCCACATGGGCTGAACAGAGGGATGTTTGCATCGTGGCAGAGCCGAATTCTTTATGCTTTGGCGAGGCACACAGTGAGAAGACGCTAAGTGGTCAGGTCTGGAGGCCTGAATTGAGAGGGAGGTCTGGAGGCCCCTTGTGCTCTTCGAGGCACCAAGATGCCCACTGTGAGCTCCTCTCAGTCAGAGCTAGGGAGCGGAGCGGAGCAGGGACTGGTGTCTCACTGAGCAGGTGGACGCACTGTGTGCCCAATGAGCAGGGACACAGCCACACCTATGCTCAGTGGAGAGGCCTGGTGTCCCGGTCAGGTGAGCCCTCCTGGGATCTCTGAAGTCTGAGCTCCACTCAGTGCCCTCCAGATAAAGGCCTCCTCTGAAGGAAATATATGGAGGAATCTGTGATTTCCAGCATTGGGGCATGTGGGTAGGCTTTTCATAGACGCTCCTGATCAGGGCACCCAGATGAGGAACAAAGACTGTGTTCTTTCCTAAAAGTAAGCATGAGGCTCCGGAGGAACCTGGGCACTGGTCAGATGGAGCAGCTTTGACCATGGGAACAAGGAACAGACCCCTTGGAGGCCTGAAGGCCTTTCCAAGGAGCAGATGGGGATCGCTGGCTGAGGTGATAACATCGCCAGACAGAGAGTGACCAGGGTGCAGGAGCAATAAACAAAGCAGGTGGGCTGGGCCCACCCTGTTAGTTGCCTTCGAGCCTTACTGGGAAGTGTCTACACCAGTCCAGCAACCCCTTCTGCCATCACCCCCCCGGGCACAGGCGTAGACATTGACCAGGAGAGCTACTTCTGCCCCATCTTCCTGCCCTGCACATAGGCCCTTCCACAGGACCCCCCCAGCAAGAGCTGGTGGGCCACCCTTGACTCTTCTCCAGCTTCTGAGTGTGAATGGGGCTTTCCTGGAGCTGCCATGATCAAGTCTATTCCTAATGAGGAGGTCCACAGTCATCTGTCTGTGAGACTCCAAAGTGTCCTGGGGGTGGGTCCCCTGCCCAGTGGCCCCAGGTTAGTACCACCTCCACTCACCTGTGGCTCTATTACACCTTTTAGGGGTTATTGAGTGAACTGAGTTTCTTGTAGTCAAGAAATTCCCAACACTCGGAAAGTTCCCAGAATGACTGGCTATGTCCTGCCTCCTGGCTACAGCCATGTGGCCAGAAAGTCAAAATTTAAGACTCAAAGAATTCAGAGGTATGCCACCTAAAGCAGGAACAACAAAAGATGAAACAGATAAATTGAACTTCAAAATCTAAAACTGTGCTTCAAAGGACACCATCAGAAAGTGAAAAGACGACCCATGAAATGAGAAGAGATATTTGCAAATCATATATGTGATGAGGAACTTGTGCCCATAATATATAAACAAAGAACTTTACATGTCAACAAAGGTTTGAACAGACATTTCTCCAAGGAAGATATGCAAATGGCTAGTAAGCACCTGAAAAGATGCCTGACATCATTAGCCATTAGGGAAATGCAAATCAAACCAATGAGACATCATGTCCCACCCACCAGAATGGCCAAAATAAAAAAGTCAGATAGTAGCAAGTGCCTGACAGGATGTGGAGAATAGAGCCCTGCCACGTGGCTGGTGGGACTGTGAAGTAAGGCCACTGCTGTGGAAAACACTTGGACCCACAGAGATGTGGTTCCCTACATAGTTAAACAGGGAGCTAACATGTGACCCAGCAAGTCCCCTCCCAAGTCACACTAGAAAGAAATGGAATTGTGTCCATACAAGGCTTGTGCAGCTCTGTTCACAGGAGCCAAAAAATGGAAGTAACCCAAATGCCCATCAGCAGATGGATGGATAAGTAAAGCATGGTCTGCCCATACACTGGATTTTATGCCCATGAAAAGGAATGGCATTCTGCCACGTGCTACATTAGTAAGCTGGAGAGGCCCAGCTCCATGAAGGAGGAGGTTGGCCAGGCCTGGGGAGGTGAGCAATCACCATGGCAGTCTACCTCTAGGGTTTAGAGCTGGCACCAGGCCATGGTGAGGTCATGCATGGAAACTGGAGACATGGGAGTGACCACAGGGTTGTGGCACCTGTTGAGTTGAAACCATTGTGGGAGATATAGGTGCTTTGTGGGCAACGGAGTTTCAGGAGAGGCAAGGGGAGAAGTTGAGCAGGCAACCTGGGGTCCAGGGAGGAGGTGAGAAAGGGTGATTTCTCTAAAGGAAAATACAGAAGAGAGCAAGGGTAGGGGTCCCACAGGGTGAGGGATGCAAGAGAAGGAACAGAGAGGGTGCTAAGGCAAGGGCTGCCAGGGCAGCTAGATGGGCTGGGGAGGAACGCAGAGGGAAGCAAAAGTGTGCTGGCAGCCCTGTTCCTCATGTAGAGGGGGTTGAGTGCAGGTGGCCAGGCCCAGAACTCTGAGAGGTGGCTAACACACTCTCCCATTGCCCAGGAAAGGCCCCTGCCCCAGTCAAAGTTAAGGGGGTGGGAGGGACACGGTGCACCCAGCCCACAGCCCAGTGCTGGTCCTTTCCTGTCTAGGATTACTGTGGGGGCAGAAAGAGGTTGGAGCTGGATCTCTGGAAAGAAGTCAGCTGGTCCTTACCAGCCAGGCCAAGGCTGGGAGTTGGTCCTGTGGAGAGAACCCCCCTCCTGGGCTCCCTCTCCAAGGTCCCTCCCCCATGGGTCTCCTATCTTCTGAATCTCCTACCCCCAAGCTTATTCCCCCACCCATCACACCATCAGCCACAAGGATGCAGGTTGTGTTTCCAAAGTCCTGGGGCAGTGGCCCAGGGTCCTCTCCTGCAAAAGGAGGGACTTTCAGTTCCTTTAGGGTGGGGGACCCCATGACTTAGCATGGTCTGGTCAGGAGCTTTCCCCCAAAAGACCAGCACAGAACCAAAGGGTCCACTGCAGCCGCTGACCACTCTCATAGGTGGTTCATCCAGCTCGTCGCTGACCGGTGCCTTTCCACCACGTCCGGGAACTGGCACATGCCCCAGGAGGGCCAGGCCCAGACCAGGCCGAGCAGGGCCTAGAGGTGGGTGGGGGTCGGGATACAGGGGGCGGTGCGCTGCGGGCGGTGGCCGAGGGGGGCGCTGCGGGGGCCGGCGTTAAAGCCCGAGCGCGGGAGCGCGCGCTCAGAGGG